GACTTGCAGTTCGACTCCTTTGGCAAGCATCAGGTTGAGGAAGGTCGAACCGGTGCAGGATTAGGGAACATGTGACCCTCCTGAGGTTGTTCTGCTGCAACTTCCAACAGTCCTAACCAGCATAACTGATTGTTAGGGATGAGAAAAACAGTAATTCTGTACATGTTGTGAAGTCACGTCTGACATATGGTGATGCTCCTAGGGCTTCCTCAGTACTGAGGGCTCTGAAGTGGTTCCTAGTGGTGGTCTGGGACCATAGAGCTTGGCCATGTCTACACAGGGCTGGCAGGGCACATCACCCCATTAACCTCACAAGCTCTGGATGATCTCGACCCCGGTCTCCAGTAGTAGGGACTGAAACTCCTAAATCCTGCCTCTGCAGAATAAATGCTCCAACCCATTAACCCATGTCAGCTCTCTAACTCTGAGTACGGGCAAAGTATATGCTACCCAGTTAGGGATGGAAAAATTGTGATGTTCCAATTATTGCTTGACTGCAGTATCATCTTTTCCTACTGCTATCTATAGTTGGTGTGTGGCAGGGTTGGATAGCTCATGAGCCACATATGCTTCAGGTGATTTTGGCTGGCCCCCTTTTCCAGGGGGGCCAATCAACTCTTGCCCCCTGGTTCCACAGTCTGGCGCTGCTACCCACTGAGTTAAGACCAGCTCAGTCTGGGATTAAAGGAATCACAATTTCACCATTTCTGGAGAGCTGCCCATTTCCCTTTACTGAACTAGGAATTTACTTTAGTTTTTCTCTCTAGTGGCCAGCACAGAAGCCACCAAATGTGAGATTCAGCTCTTCTGAGTCACCATGGCCTCCTTCGCCATCCAAACTTTCCCAGGTAGTTCTGGGTGGTTGTCACCGGCTGTGCTTGGCAGCCTGTGAGCGAGGAATCTGCCCTCGTTTCATGATTAGCTCCTGGTGAGGTCATTGGCTCTTGGGAGAGCCCGGGGACGTCTCTGGCTGGAATAAGAGTATTGGGAAGGCTTGGCACACCTGAGCCTGTGGAATGTTCATAGGCCTGTTGCTAGGGAGTGGCTCCCGGTTGCTAGGCAGGGCCGGCATCAGGTGGAGCCCAGTGATCATGTGACAGGTAGTGACTAAGACCAGCTCCTGGTGCCAAACTGCCTGGGGCAAAGGGAGACCTGACTGGGTGTGGGGCCTCTAGGAGAAACCAGGAGAGGAGGAAGTAGCCTGGAACACCAATACTGTACTACTAACTGAAGATGTGGGAAGAAAACATGTGCATCATTACATGCCTCGTGCTGGTGGGAGATGCCCTCTGTTTTTAAGTACAGAGTTGACCTTTGTCATACACTTGAGGGGCGGAAGTTGATATATGTTCTGTCGAAGTGTGGCTCTAGTCACTTACAGAACTGAGAGGAGGAAGCAGCCTGGAACACCAATACTGTACTACTAACTGAAGATGTGGGAAGAAAACATGTGCATCATTACATGCCTCGTGCTGGTGGGAGATGCCCTCTGTTTTTAAGTACAGAGTTGACCTTTGTCATACACTTGAGGGGCGGAAGTTGATATATGTTCTGTCGAAGTGTGGCTCTAGTCACTTACAGAACTGGCTTAAGAGAGATGCCCTCTGTTTTTAAGTACAGAGTTAACCTTTGTCATGTGTTTGAGGGGCGGAAGTTGATATATGTTCTAAGTGTGGCTCTAGTCACTTACACTGCTGATACCCAGAACAGGCTTAAGATGTTTCCCTGCCTGAAATAAAGCAGCAGATGGTGCTACTCCCACCATCACTTCAAGGTGTGAAGAACCCAAAAAGGCAGACTGCCCCATATGCATGTCTGATCCTTACCTGTGAATTAAAATGAACATTAGCAAAGTCAATCACTGTTTGATGCCTTTTCAGTTCAGATTAAAACTCTTAAGGTAGGGGTCTCCTATTGCCCAATGATAGGTTTTGGTCCTGCATACATGTATGTGGGAGTTTACATGTGCACACACACCACTAGATTTCCTTGTACTGGCAGGTGGATGTATGGACATTCTGCAGAGAGATGGGGGTGGTGGTTTAGTGGCAAAATGAAAATCTGTGCTCATGTGCTCCACTCCAACATCAGGGTCTTTTCCAGGGTGTCTTCTCTTCTCATGAGATGGCCAAAGTACTGGAGCCTCAGCTTCAGGATCTCTCCTTCCAGTGAGCACTCACAGTTGATTTCCTTTGGAACGGATATGTTTGTTCTCCTTGCGGTCCAGGGGACTCTCAAGGTAGCTACTCTAAGGTAGCTGTCTCCTATTGCCCAATGATAGAGTTGGTCCTGCATACATGTATGTGGGAGTCTACATGTGCACACACACCACTCGATTTCCTTGTACTAGCAGCAGGATGTATGAACATTCTGCAGAGAAATTAGCAGGGGGGCGTTAGTGGCAAAATGAAAATCTGTGCTCACGTGCTCCACTCCACACAAGCACAAGTTGGACCACATGAGGTTGTATGAATGCACTCGCCCTTGGTCTTCCAAGCATGAAAGTCTATTTAGTGTGTGTGCAAAGTCATTTTTGGTTTGGCTTAGCTTAAGGAAGTTCCTGGTAGGCAAGATTCCCACCTCTAGTCTCCATAACAGTCCCCGCTTCCTGTATATTATTCAGAAGGGCAGCCAGATGTGAAAGAGGACAAGACTCCCGTTTGTTGTGCAGAGGGGGTAAATTCTGGCATGCTAGTCTGAGCAGCCAGCTGCAGAGCCACCGTAAATTCTGGCATGCTAGTCTGAGCAGCCACCATTCAGGGGTTGGATTCACCACTATGCCTCATAGGAAGAGAGGATGTCCATGTGATCTTGGGCAAGCTATTGTGGTTCCAGAGCATCGCCCAGAAGAGAATACTAAACCACTTCTTAGTATTCTAGCACTTAGTACCCTGGAAAGGGTTGCCGGAACCAACATACGTCAGCGCTTATTATATAATGTGTCAGCAGCCACCTACAAATGGGGGAAGGGGTCCAGGGAACACAAAACTTCCCTGCTACGAGTTCATTAAGCAAACTTCCAAGAGTTGCAGTTAAATAATCTTAGACACTGGATCTCATAATCAGATGTTTCCCTGTCCTTTTAATTGGCAAGGCGGTTTACCATAGTATTGTCTTTAAAAAGTGCCAAGATAGTAGAGAAACATTTCTCTCTTTACCAGTAAATACAGTATAGCAATAATAACATATAGTCAGAGTAGTGTTACTAAGACAGCACATTACAGGCTTCATAGTGGCTTTGTATAAAGCTCAAAGCTGCCACCCAGTGGAAAGTTTGGAAATAATAAAAGAACTTTTGAAACCACAGCAGCAGGGCTAGCCAGGACACTTTGCTGCTGGAGTAAAAAGAATAAATCCCATCCCACCCCAATCTTATATATATACTGACTGATTAGAATACTAAATGAACCTGGGCTCAGAGCTGCAATTTGGACACCATCCTCCACCGCACTCAAGGACCACAAATCAGCTTAGTGGGTACGTAGAACTCAGAAAACCAACAGCTGATCAGGAAAGCTAGGGAATTTGATGAAGTTATCACCCACCCACCTTTTCTAAGCAGACACATGTTACAGCAAGCTACGTAAAAGCAACTCTCTTTTCCCCCACTCCATTATTACACTTGACGTCTGCTTTTAACCACACCTGTTTGTTCTAAGACAATGGCAGGCAGAAGGTGCAGTAGATTTGAAAAATGTTTTGCCTATGCTCAGAAGCACTCAGCATTTTTGCGATTAAGAATTATGAATGATTGTTGTCACCCCTTGTTGATACGCTTCAGTATCTTCTAAATGGAATAAAGGCATCATTCTTTATTAACCTCCTTTAATCCAAACAAACAGTCTGTAGAGTTTCAAGAGTGAGTGAGCAACACAATTGTCACTAGAGGCAGGCAGGAAGAAGAAATCAGAGTCGCAGATGAGAAAAAAAGCTTACCAAGTTGTTAGATCCATGGTTCAGGACAGGATTCTCTAACCTGGTACTCTATAGATGTGTTGGATTATAATTCCTATCATCCACAGATGGAAACTGAAACATTACCCACTAATATTAATCTAAACTAAGGTTACAACTACTGTACATGGGTAAATAGTATGGGATTTGTTGTGAAAGTAAAACAGACACAATCAATATTTAAAATTGATCACTTGATGCAAGGGTTAATTCAAATTTGCCTGGCTGTTTTTGCTTCCGTAGCGGAATTCCTCCCCCCCCGCCACTGGGGGCTTCTACCTTTTAACTTGAAACTATTTGAATTCTGTTTTCCGTGTGCAAGCAGTTGTTTTATTCTTCAAAAGGATGGAGGGTGTTACTGTGAGTGGTATTCTGGTGATGTTCTAAACTGGGTGTGATGTTCTGGACAGTGGGAGACCCACCCCCGTAATCTTTCTCCCTAGTAACCCGAACATATTTTTAATTTAAAAAAAACCCCAAACTATCGAGTTTAGCATTAGAACACTTACCACTGTATTATTACCTTAGCATTAGTTCACCTCTGCATGGAAAGAAAGATAAAAATTCAATATGAAATAAGAACAGCTCTGATGAACTATAGCACACTATTATGTTTCTGTGGTGTGTGTGTGTTTGTATGTTATGAAGGACTCTGGCAAACTGTCCCTTTTCTCTAGCATCATGTAACACTTTAAACTACCTGCCAGCTTTACAATGAAACATAAAAGGCCAGCCAAGGATCAGTAGACAGCAGGATGAAAGGAAAAAAAGGGCTGTAGGCTGTGTACTGGAGGGGCCGGTGTAGATACAATCCACAGTCTCCCTGTGATCACCTAATCTGAACAGAAACGTAAAATAGGCTGTGAATCAAGCCACAGCAAAGCAGAATTGCCCTGATTCAGCGAGGCAGTGCAGTCGCAGCCACAAATTAGTTTTGGGGTCCAAAAGTCTTAAGAAATTAGGGCCCAGGCTCACTGGTTTGGATAAATGAACTAAAGAAAATAAGAATATCATGTGCAGACCACAGCCGTAATACAAATGGGAGGTATTTTATTAAAATTAAACTTTAAAAAACATTTTAAACTCTGTACAAAGCTGAAAAATTAAATTATCTGAAAACACTAGTACAAAGGCAGCTCTGTGAAGATGAAAAAAGGCACATGGCAGGCCAATCTGAAGGTACCTATTGGTCTGTTCAAGAATGAGGTCCAAAGTTACCCACGACTACTGAAATTTTTAGCTAAAATTTTAAAACATTACTTTTAAGTGCTACAACTGGCAGAATTTTCCACCTGGCACCCGTAGCTCCCCACCCCAAAATAACTTTTCCAATTGCTGGTTCTGGTGCACAATGTGAAATGTCAATTCCGGTCAGAACCATCCATGCTAGGGGTTTGGTTCTTTAACAGGCAAAGCTCTAGGACATGGGGGTAAGTAGGAAGGGAGGTAGAAAGTAGCTCAGGATCTGCAGGGGAACTGAAGATCATTTCAAACACATCGGCAAAAGTTTTTAGTTCCCAGTTGTTAAAAAAAAGCCAGCAGGTCCTCAAATTTCCCACTCCCAAGTTAGACTGCTAAAGTAAAGAAAGCTGAATACGGGACAGAGAAGTTTTATGTATGAAAGAACTGGGATCAGTTCTGGTGTGAAATGCAAATTCTTGGGCTGAACACATGGACCGTGGCCATCAATCCTGTACAGAAACCCAACTTTGGTTCCGCCACATTGCACATGGTCCTGGTCAAGCGGATCTTGAGGTCATTTCTAGTAAAAAGCAAAGGAGATCCACCATTCCTGACTTCCACCCCCTTGTTCTCCTGGAGGAAAGGGTCAATGGCTGACCTTTGGTCTTGCAGGGAACCAGTAGCACTGGGAAATTGTTCACCCTAGTGACTACCATTTGTGTACGTGTTTATGCATACACAAACACATGCTTGTGTGGGCAGTCAAGGTCCCTAGTTTCCAATGTATTTGAGGTTAGCAAGAAGAAAAATCAGGGTAAAACCAGAAGTAGATATGCTGTACTAGGCTCTCCTCTGCCCCCCTGTACCTGTGCACGGAGGTTTTACTTCCAAACCTCACAGTACTTTTTTTAGAAGTGAAGCACCATGGGACAAAAAGGAAAAGAAAAAAAAGGAGCTTTGGATGGCTCAGAGGTACCCATGCTCAGCTGATCCACTCTGGGTCAGAATTAAAAGTTCTACAGGAACGACGTTGATGGTGGAACTGTCCCAGCTTTGCTGAGCCATTTAACAGTGAAACTCTTTAAAAAAAAAAAACCAAAATAGCAGGAGGGCAGTGTTCTCAAGGCACAAAATGTGTTGGAATACCCATCCGGAGCACATTTCCTGTGGTGTCAGATAGCCCGGTTCAGCTGTGCTGGGTACAAGGAATTAAGCTGCCCCCTTGCCTGCAGAAGGAATTGTACCACTCATTCGAGTCTCTCTGTGAACAAAGAACAATGTGTTAAAATAAATTGTCTCCTCACTTTATGTTGAGACAGGGGATGGGTCGCTGTCCCCAGATATACTGCTCATGCTGGTCAGGAAGTCAATGCCGGGCTCCACATGCTCATTGGCTGCCCTCCTCCAGGATCCATGCAACATGCACAAAAACCATGCCACTAAAAAAGCTTCAGGGCTGGCAGCGTGAAGAGGGTGTTGGGTGGAGGGCGGCACAGCTGTGTACGCTGAACTGAGAACACCTTCCAGGCTTGCACAAGAAGCCAGGCCAGCTCTCATTTCCTGTTTTCAGCTCTTGTGGTGCCTACCGGGAGCTACCCAAATGGAGAAGCCATACTCAGTCACAAGGAATGGATGGATGGGATGGACAGGGAAACTCAGGTGGAAGCAGGGGTGGCACACTGAGGACACAATGCAGGAGGAGAAGAGACAAAACACCGAGCAGGGAGGGAGGTGGTGAAGGAGCCCAGAGGCGGAAGAGGAAGGTGTACAGACAGGGTGAGAGCCAAGCCCTTCGGTTGTGCCATCAGTAACCTTGATCAGCTTTATCGCCTTTGGTTCTCGGCTCCTGCCACCACTGGGAAAGGAATCCTTCTTCATAGTCCCCGATCTCCTCAAATTCAGCGTCTGATGGATATTTCGGCTCTGTTGCTTCCTCACCATCCCCTACCTCTCCCTTAGGCAGGAAAGAAAAACTGGTCACCAGAGATCTGCTCAAGAGACCACTACGCTGTTCGAGTCTACAGCTGCTCTCCTATGCTTTTACAAACACGCCACACAGGTGTAAATGGCAGTGAGCACAACACTCAGCAGTATATATACACCCCTGCCAATTTTCCATCCATACACAGGGATAAATTTGGAAAAGTGTAAATGGCAGTGAGCACAACACTCAGCATTATATATACATTATATATCCATCCATACACAGGTGCTCATCGCAACATTCCTCATGCCATCTTCCCTCCTACAGAGAGTGTAAGCAACTGGATTGTCCACTTCAACAACTAAAGAGCAGGTCTTTTATACATTTAACATATCTTACTGGGCTACTGAGACCAAACCATCATCAAATACTTTGCATTAGAACAAGAACAGCTTGCAACAATACATTTCTCTCAATCACTGTGAAGAATATAGTTAACCTCAGATGGAGGTGCCACATGATGTCATAGTTTCTGTTATTCACATAGTCCCAGTGCTTCACCCTGCCTAATCTGGTTCTATCATGCCAGTGCCCATATGGCTGTCAAAATAGGAGCTGAAATCATACAAAAAATGCCCACATGAAATACTAAGGCTACAGAAAAATGGGGGTGTCTGTGTTCACACACCACGTAAAATAGTGTCAGCACATGCACATATGCACGTACACACCACTGTATCCCATTGTGTTTTTACACACTCACCCACCCACCACTGTATCTCATTGTGTTTTTCTGCCAACAGGGAAGATCTGGTGGAACAAACCTCTCCTGAAGCCTTCCACACACACGTCCCCCAATATGCTTTGCAGGATTAGGGCATATGTGGGGAATTGCCAGCAAAGTGGGGGGAGAAAGCATATGTTTGCATAATGGTAGATTTAGCCCATATTAATCCATATTATCAACAAATCACAGTGGCTTATGATTAAAAACAAAAAAGCCTGTGCTATTATCAAGTACAAAACAAAATAATGATTTTGAAGCCAGCACTTTTTGTATATAAGCAAAGAAAAAAGGACAATTACCTGAAGTTAGTAGCATCTAACAAGAATCCTGTAACGCTTTAAATATTAAGAAATATATTGCACTATGAACAAGTCTCATAAGAGCTGGCAGAAGCCAAGAACTTTGAATGCATGGGCAAAACACAGTATTCTATAGAACAGCCCTCACCAACTCAGTGCTCTCCAGAGATCTTGAATTACAGCTCTCTGAACCTGGCTTTTGGTTCTGGGAGTGATAGCCTAAAACCCCCGCATCTCTAAGGGCAGCAAACTCATTTTCCAAGCATGGATTATTACGTAGGCAGAGATGTAGCTAAAATTTAAGGATCTTCCCTTTCCTATTCTGTGAATGAAATACTTATTTTTCTCCACTACAGATACATCAAGCATCTCCCATCGGAAAAGCAAATGAGCTTTGGTCTATCCTAAGGGAGGGCTAAGAGATACCAATAGTCTACTCTTAAGCTACCTCTCTTCTTGTGTCTTGGCTTAGGCCAAGATGAACAACATGTGGCCTTCCAGATAATGTATGACGGTGAATGCAGATCAACAGTACTATTGATTATGCCAGCAAGGGGTTCTATAGGGCGCATGTCCAACATTATCTGGAGAGACAGAGGTTGTCCACTCCATATTAGGGTTTGAGGTGTGCGAGAGAGAGAGAGAACAGAGAGAAGACAGGAAGAGACTGGCTTAAAACCACCCAGCAGCCTTTGCAAGTAGACAGAGGTTTGAACTGGCTATTCCCCAGTATAACACCAAACCAACCACCATGTTGCACTAGCTTTGGGTCTCCTGAACCCTCACCTCATCATCTGGTTGGAGGTAGAGTCGGGCAAACTCCAAGAGCTTCCTCTGTGTGGATGTCTGATTGTGGTAGTGTAACGCCTCCTGTGAGTAAGGAGAGGAAGACAAGGGTCATTCACAGAAGACTAAAGTGCAATATTTTCTTAGTCTGGAACCACTCCGATGTTAACTGAAAGAAGGCATTTCCTGCTGAGAATAACTATGTGTGTAAACACTTCCATACCCACCTTGGAAGCGATGGCACCTGCAAGCCCCTGGGAAGTGCAGGAGTCTTGGGCTTCCTGTTGCTCAGATGCCCAAGGAAGAGGGTGCACAGGAAAACTATACTCAAGTGCCAGTGAGGCATCCAGCTTGCACACCTTTCCCAAAGATGCGGCTGCAGCTGCAGAACAACCAAAACTGAGGTGCCCTCACAAATCTAGTGCACAGGAAAACTATACTCAAGTGCCAGCGAGGCATCCAGCTTGCACATCTTTCCCAAAGATGCGGCTGCAGCTGCAACAGAACAACCAAAACTGAGGTGCCATCACAAATCTAATAGCACCTGAGGGGTTGCAATGGGCTACCACTTGTCTCTGAACTTTCAGATCTCACATTTCCAACAAAGCCTTAGGCTTACTCCTCATCTTTAGCTTTGCTGAAAATGGGGAAATCATTTATATCCATGCTTTGGCTATGTTTCCTTTTCTTTCCCTTGCCTGGTGTTTCCAGCCTCATCATTCAAAAGAGTTCACCTCAAAGCAAGTTGTATTCATATCAAAAGAACCAGGGACACTATCAGACCTTGTATAAAGAGAACTTTTCTGATTCTGTTACCCCTATGATGGGTAAGCTTTTGGGGCCCAAGGGCCAGATGGCATGGCCTCCACGAAGACTCCTTGGGAAGAGTGCACGTATCAAAGGTTGTTATATCCAAAACGCAAAGCGGGCAAGGACACTGTCTGTTTCCCTTCCAGTTCTCACCGGCCGTGGATTGAAATCGTTCTCTTCCAAATGCCAGCGCTCCCGATGGAAACGGTAATAGGCCAGGTTCTGCTGCATGACCTCATCTCCCGGATCAAAGAGCATGTAGCTGGCGACACTCCGTACTGCGTTCTTGATATCATTCACTGTACCAAAACCAAGACACTAACTTAGTGAGAGAAACATTCTAATCACAGTATCGGAAGTAGGAGGATGGGGGAAGAAGAGGAGGAGCAGGACAAATAATGACCTCTAAAAGCAGGAGTCAGCAATTTTTGGTCCTCTAGACCAGTGGTTCCCAACCTTGGGTCCTCAGGTGTTCTTGGACTAAAACACTCAGGAGCCTTCATAACTAGCTGTGGAGTTATAGTCCGAGAACAAGTGAGGACCCAAGGTTGGGAGCCATTGCTAGACGTTACTGGATTGCACCACTGAGCAGCTCGTCACTGGTTGACTTCATCACAGCTCAAGTTCACCGATATCTGACAGGCCACACGTTGCCCACCCTGCTCTAAGCCAATTGGCAAGATCTGGCCTGCTACCAATTTTTAATGGAAATGGGCTAAAACAATGTGCTGTTCTCTGAATGCAAGGGGAGGAAAAAGCAGCTCGTTTCCATGTCTTTCGTAGGTACAAAACCGGTGGCAGTCAATGTTGGATTTTATCTCCCATAATCCCTTAACAAGACAGGTGTTCTCTGCAATTTTCAACCTCTTCTTGCCAAACAACAGTAACCTTATCACATAGCACTAAGTGGTCCATGGAAGGATGGGGTCTTCCCAGCCCTTTGATGAGTATCTGGAGAAATACAATAGCAATCCCTACTGTACCTAGAAGAGACAGGGCTGTATACTTGGTTCTTGATGGCTACATGTATGATCTAATACAGGGGTGGTGAAACATTGGAACTCCAGATGTTCTAGACTGCATTTCCCAGAATACCCAATGTGGTTCAATAATAAAGGATTATTATCGCCGAAAACATCTGGCATGCCAAACGTTCGCCACCTGTGAAATTCTAGTGACATTAACTGTTCACCCTCTTTACTCAGAAATCTAACCACCTATGAAGCTTCCATGCTTCTTATCTGCAACCGTCAATGCTAGATGTATTTATTTTAAAAAACAGGATGCTGTTTTTTCTCAGGTAATGCTGACTGTTGGAGTGTTGCTTTTATACAGGTTGTGGGAGGTGTGTTGTGATTTTGTACAGTCATGCAATTGTCTTTGGATTGTGTGTTTTGCAGCGGTCTGAAGAGTGCATACAATTAAACTAACCAAACTGAACTGAATCAGCTAAGGCTGGACGTAGGAGAAACAGGAGTGATACACCCAATAACCAGCTCCACACATAATGGTAACCATCTCCAGATCAGCCCCTTCACCAACAACTCACATTTGTAATATGCAAACTGAAGATAGTGGTACATGGTGGCCACAAACTTCTCCACAAAGTAGCCGCCCACGTTTGGTGTCAGTTCAGCCTCACAATCCACCTTGCACTGGAGGACATCAAGAAAATGATCTGGATGGAGAGTGGTTGTTGTGGAAGAACAGGGATTGTGGGATGGAAGAAAAGAATCAAAAGAAAATGAATATAATTCCGGAGTGATTACCTTCCAATACCACTGATAAAATAGTCTTGGGTTGCCCAGTGTTACACATTGACTTGGATGCCAGAACATACAAGATTGAGATTACAGAATGTGCCCATCTGAACTGACCATGTAAACTATTCTGAGAGAGTGAAATAATTCTGCAATTACCCTGTTGTTCTTCACTGTGCTTCTGTGTTACATGTTTTATTGTTTCAAGGGGGGAAAGCTCCTCAGCTATAAGTCTGACATCTGAAAATGCCTGCCACTGGGTCACCAAGAGCTCAAAGCAGAACCAGGAGTTATGAGCTTGTCCACAGGCACAATGGCCACATCACTGCCCTTACCTGCAATGGCTGCCCCTGCCTCAAATGCCCTTACCTGCAATGGCCGGATAGAAGTCCTTAAATTCACGGAGCTCATAGCTGCCTTCGCAGCCTGCTAAGCAATTGTCATAGGCCTTGTAATAGTCAGACAGTGCATGCTCCATGTCAGCGATGCTGCTCCGGAAATCGCCACTGTTGTAGAGTTTCACTGCTCGGACAAAAACGGTCTGTTAAAAAAACAGAGAAGACACAGCAGATCAGGTTCAACAAGGGGGTCTATAAAACTTGAAATCAAGACTTGCCATGCTGGATGAAACCCAGTTGTCTCTGTCCTGTTTGGCACTCTGGCCAATGTGTATTCCTTCTCTTCCTTCAAAATATAGTCAATCAGTTTAACTGTGTTCGGGGGGGACCTCCTACTCATCTTGTTCATTGGGGCCCAGAATGTCTGCCCTGATGGCCCTATGGAAGGGGGTTTTCTTGTATGCAGCATGCATTTGGGGGCCTTCCTGCTCATCTTGCTGAGTAAGGCCCTAGACATCTTCCCCCAAGTCTTGGCCTGATGCCATCACTGACTAGAACTTCTAGATAGCTTAGTGGTCTAAGCATCTGGCTGCAGAGTCAGAAGTTGGCAGTTCGATTCCCCACTGTGCCTCCTTGACAAGGGTTGAACTCATTGATCCATGGGGTCTCCTCCAGCTCTGCAATTCTAAGATGATGATAATGATGATGATGATAACAGTGAAGGCCACTAACCTAGCATGTTAACGTCATCTGAAATAAACTCAGAAGAATGAGCAACAGAAGAAAAAGTTTCCTAAAACAGAGTAACCAATTATTATCACCACACAACCCTCCTCTGCTTCTCCCCCACACTCTTCATTTGTGATACCAAACATATTGGGATCATTTTGCCATGTTCAAGATACTCGTTGCTTTTGCAGTCTGCCATTTGACTTCATTTGGCAACTGATCCAGTCTTTACAGTGGTGCCTCGCTTAATGATTGCCTTGTTAAAAGACGAAACGCTTGACAATGAAGTTTTTGCGATCACTTTTGCGATTGCAAAATGATGTTCCTATGGGGAAAATTTGCTTAACGATGATCGATTCCCTGCTTCGTGAACCGATTTTTTGCTAAACGACGATTTAGAAACAGCTGATCGGTGGTTCTAAAATGGCCGCCTGCTGTGCAAAATGGCTCCCCCCTGTGTTTTCAGACCGGATTCCCCGCTTTACAGGCAGTGAAAATGGCCGCCCCTATGGAGGATCTTCACTGGACGGTGAGTTTTCAGCCCATTGGAACGCATTGAACCGGTTTCAATGCATTTCAATGGGCTTTTTCGTTTCACAAGACAATATTTTCGTAAGACAGCAATTTTCGCTGAACGAATTAACATCGTCTTGCGAGGCACCACTGTATTTCTTCTTTCTTTTTCCTCTTCTTGGCATACCAAAAACTAGGTAAAAATGAATAAAACAGCCCACTATACAAAAGGAGCCCCCTAATTTGGCACATGGACCCGGATCATTTCTTAAACACAAGACCCTTTTAAGTCATTGGGTGTATCACTCCAGTCAACTTAGTGTTCTCCAGATGTTTTGGACCACATCAGCCCCAGCCGATATGACCAATTATACAAGACCCTTTTAAGTCATTGGGTGTATCCTTCCAGTCAACTTAGTGCTCTCCAGATGTTTTGGACATCAGCTCCAGCCAATATGACCAATTACAAGGGCTATGGGAGTGGTCAGCCAAAAACATCTGGAATGCACAAAAAAGGCTTTAAAATGTGATCTCATTCTAGGTAGTAGCTTTCCCTCTCTCTCCAGTACCCAAATATTCCTCCTTCCAGTTACCTCATAGGGCTGTGCTTCCAAGTCTACAAGGTACTCCTCTACGTCCACCATCGTCTTGTAATAATTCAGGTACTTCTGGGTCATCTCATGCTTGGGATTCTTCTGCAGGAAAGTGTGAGCAGCTGACACGGCTTTCTCAATCTTATTTGCCTGAGAAAAGTACAAAGAGCCTGTTAAAGGCAGAATTTGTTCACATTTTCAGGCCCTGGATACACTTTCATCCAAACTGGCGCCAATTTAATTTCTTTTCTTATCTGGTCACTTCTTTGTATCTGCACTGTATTGCTGCTGTACCATATCTTGATGATGGGTTGCAAACCACATTTAAAAATGCGTGGCTTAGGCCACAATGGGGATTTCCTGGTTTACGGGCTAAATCAGACCCATTTGATCTTCCCGTCAGTGTCATCGAGACAAATTCTATACCCAGTGCCATGCTCCAAAGGACAGTTCTAAAAGGCAAGCACCTACGTATGTTAGTCAAAACGAAAACAACCAGCCAAAACATTATAGCAGTTCTTAATGCCAACAGAGCTGGTATTTTGCAAAGCTAATGGGTTTTGACTGCTCGTTTCAATACTAAAATGTGTTGCATTATAGGAGGGATGAGCTGGAACAATACATATCTGCTATTTTGCCTCCAGCTATTGTGCAGATGGCAATTAAAGTCGGATGGAACAGGGAGCAGTGACAGAATATGTCACTTTTTCTGCTCATCTAAATAAAATAAAAGAAAATCTGATGCTCTGATACTACAAGCCTTGGCTACAGTACACCATGGCTGTCCATTCAGTCCATTGCTTCTCTTCCCCAGCTCACGCCCTCAACCATACCACTTTACTTATCTCTTTTCCAAAGCACTCTGGCAGTGTCTAATCCAAGCCAACCAGAGAGATCTCTCTAAATTGCTACTCCCACACTTGTATATATAATGATGGTGTAGCAAATGAGAAAATCGTTGCAATTCACATCCCTCAAAGGGAATTGAGGTGGAGATCATGTAAATGTACATACAAGCAGCATCACATGTAAAATTCTACATACAGTATGAATTATGCATGTGAGCACACAAGTATGAAACTGAGTTCAGTATCCCCACTGCTTGCCAGGAGTGATATGAATTCAAACAAATCAGTCTGAGGAGCCAACGCTCATCATGCATATATGTAGATTAAAAAGCTAAATGACAGCATCTGGGGCTGGTCTAGACTGAAATATATCTAGGCCAGCATCCTGTTGCTTTGCACTGCATGAAGAAAGGAAACTGTAGAAGAGGCTACAGGTAGTTGAGGAGGAGTCAGCTGAATATTGATCTTGGGGCTAGCATTTTGTCGACTAGCCGCAATTGCTTCCAGAATTTCTCTTCCATTTACAGTATAAAGGAAGAGAACTCTGGCTTTGAGAGGTCCAATACATTCAGCAATCTATAAGTTCCATCTGTTAGAAAGCTTTCCTGAAAAAGCCCCAACATGGCTGGTGATCAGAAAACCATCTGTTTCACAGCGAAACCTCAGAAGATGGACTGGGGTGCCAGATTTTAGCCCGGTAGCTTTCAGTGTAAGGGCTTAAGCTTGTAACATACAAAGTAGTGACAATAAGTTTGATTCTGAGCATGTGTAGAGTGTCTTTCTCCCCCCCCCACCCCCATGCTCAGCCACTGACAGCATGCATGACCAAACTTATAGCGGAAGGCAGCTGGAAAAAATATGTGGCAACAAAGTGGAATTCAGGCCAACAGCCACGTGCGGTTTCCTTGAATAAATTGCCTGATTTTCCTGCCTGCTTGAAATAGCAAAAATTATCATGCTGAATCTTAACAAGTCACACGTGTTATTACGCTGCTACCCATTCAAGCTTACATCCTAATAAAATTTGTTAAGAGTGCAGTGACACTTTAAGGACTTTGTTGTTTTTTTTCCAACAAACCGACACACCTACCCCTCCGGACATTAAAAAATAATAATAATGGTGGGTTTCTAAGCAAGGAGCAAAATGCAGAATACACAACCTGTGAGTCACAAGTTGGGCAAGCCTGCTAGATCATATCGTCTGGCAGCTTCATTTCACTGCTATCATTTTTTCGGTGTTTAAAAGAAAAAAAACTCATACCAACGAGAAGCCTCCCTTACCACTGATTGTTCTCAGATATTCCATCAATTGATCCAGCCTGCCTTTTTTCCAACAACAGTGGACGCAGTTTCGTCCCTTGAGCGCTGCCTTGAGCGCTGCCTGGAGGCCGTTCAGCAATAGATGCAGGAGAATGGACTGAGGCTGAACCCGGGCAAGATGGGAGTCCCTCGGGTGGGTGCCCCAGGCATCAGTGGTTTGGGAAACTTCCTCTCTTTTGCTTCCCCCCAGGACTGAGGTTCGCAGTGTGGGTGTACATCGGGACCTGCCGTTCACCATGGAAACCCAGGTGGTGTCAGTGGTCCAATCTGCACACTTCCATCTTCGGCGGATTGCCCAGCTGCATCCCTATCTTGATGTGGGAGCACTCACCACTTTGGTCCATGTGCTCGTAGTCCCGAGATCAGACTACTGTAATACACTCTACATGGGGCTGCCTCTGAGACTGACGCGGAAACTCCAGATGGTGCAGAATATGGCAGCTAGACTTCTTACAGGGGTGAAAAGGTACCAACATATTTCCTCCATGCTGACCGCCTTATATTGCCTACCCATTCCGTGTTTATTTCAAAGTCTTAACTATGATATATAAAGCCCTAAACGGTTTAGGACCTCGATATCTGGCAGAGCGCCTCCTCCCACCCAGTTCTGCCACTCTTTCCAGCCAGGCTGGGCGGCTGAGGGGCCTAACACTGCAGGAGGCCTGGAAGGAAAGAACAAGGAACCGGGCCTTCTCAGCAGCAGCCCCTCGCCTCTAGAACAACTTGCCCATGGAGATCTGCCTGGCTCACTCTCTGGGTGTATTAAGGCAGTGGTCCCCAAACTTGGGCCTCCAGATGTTCTTGGACTACAACTCCCAGAAGCCTTCACCACCACGTCTGCTGGCCAGGATTTCTAGGAGTTGAAGTCCAAGAACATCCGGAGGCCCAAGGTTGGGGACCACTGCTTTAAGGGCAAGGATAGTGACAACTACAACTTCCAACAGCCCTAGTCTTTACGGCCAATTGTAAGGGATAATGGGAGTTGTGGTGTGCAACCAGGGCCCCACGTTCCCCATTCTTGCTTTAAGTTCAAAGACGAATGTTGAGATTATCATAATACTGAATGCTGAACACAGTGTTAATACTAGTAGAGGATGTTCATAAAACTGAACCCAAGGAATGCCAGTGATCTGGCTTTATAAAAATTGGGCATTCAATAAGCCTCTGAATCAGCATTACAAACTGGCCTGCCTCCTATATAAGTCATTTGCCCAACACAAGCATTTTCTAAGATTTGGCTCGATAGTGATCTTTTGCTCATCAATAAGGTTTCTCTAACCCACACCCACGTCTGCTGTTCTCATTATGGTGTTAAATGCCAGGGTGCTGACGTGGGGAAGGAAGGCTTACCACCAGGCACATCCCTGCTCTAGGGCGAAGAAAGAAATGACTATATTTAGGGAGAGCAAAATACAGAGGCAGCTTTCTATCTGCAGAGTTTCTAAGATTCTCTACTGGACTAAGCATACTCCTTAACAAAGTGTACCTCATATTTGAAAAGGGACATATCTGAAAATTTCTTTTTTAAAGAAAATGAGCTCTTTTTTAAAAAAAGCAAAAATAAAAAGATCTAGAAACTTGCTTTAAAAATAGAATAAGGCCATTCTACTAGTGGACTAGAGACGTGGTGGCACTGCGGGTTAAACCACAGAAGCCTCTGTGCTGCAAGGTCAGAAGACCAGCAGTCGTAAGATCGAATCCATGTGACGGAGTGAGTGCCCGTCACTTGTCCCAGCTCCTGCCAACTTAGCAGTTTGAAATGAGAGTAGATAAATAGGTATGAACTCAGCAGGAAGGTAATGGCCTTCCGTGTCTAGTCGCACTGGCCACGTGACCACGGAAGATTGTCTTCGGACAAAATCCTGGCTCTATGGCTTGGAGATGGGGATGAGCACCGCCCCCTAGAGTCGGACACGACTGGACTAAATGTCAAGAGGAACCTTTACCTTACCTTACTAGTGGACTACCAGATTGCACAACAAGTACCTAAGTCTTTATTCTGCAAACTCCAACTGCACCCATGACGTTTTGTTAAGAAATGACGAGTCAAAAATAATCAGACCTGCAATATGAATGAACAGCAAGGATCCCATCCATTTTCTCTTTTCAGAAGTCCTCCTTTAATGCTTCCTCAGTCTAAGGAATCACAACATGCTTTAGAGTGGTGCAGACTTAATTTGTACCTGCATTTACCCAGACTGGTTTAATTTCAGGATCGGTTCAGGCAGGCTGGCCCTATATATCACTTTACTCAGTACTGACCCTTTCTATTGGGGGAAGAAAAAGCTATTAATTAGTACTATCATTAAAAATCAGCATTTACTTTCCTTCTCTTGATGCTAGCATGAGCAACTTTGGATCTTCAAACATATATATTGCCCACATTTCCCACCAGTCCTAGGCCATATACTGTACTGTAGTCAAGAGTAAGGGATCATGAGAGATATATATATTGCCCACATTTCCCACCAGTCCCAGTCCATGAGAGAAGTAGTCCAAAAACATCCAGAAGGCCACAATTGACCATTTGGCTCTATGCTTTCAGCCCTATCCCACCCCTTACATTGTTCACTGTTTCAGGCAACTTTAATCCCGTACCACCATAAAAGGGTCTTGGTCTCCCTCTCCTGTTATTGGGAAATAAAACCAAATTTACCCTCTGTCACGGAGGTAAGCTTTACAATCTATTTTCACTGCCAGGCCAAGGGCTCCTGTTCTGATGCTATGACGTGCAGGGCAGAATGCCTATTGCCCATCTTATTTCAACTGGAAGGAAAAAAAATATTGCCGCCAAAAGATTTTACTGGCACGTATGCAGAGTCTGGCACATATAGGGAAGTGGTGGCGCTGCGGGCTAAACCGCAGAAGCCTTTGTGTGCTGCAGGGTCAGAAGACCAAGCAATCGTAAGATCGAATCCACTGGATGGAGTGAGCTCCCGTCGCTTTGTCCCAGCTCCTTGTCAACCTAGCAGTTCGAAAGCATGCAAATGTGAGTAGATAAATAGGTACCACCTCGGTGGGAAGGTAAACAACATTTCGTGTCTAAGTCGCACTGGCCACATGACAACGGAAACTGTCTTCGGACAAACGCTGGCTCTACGGCGTGGAAACGGGGATGAGCACCGCCCCCTAGAGTAGAACACGACTGACTAAAATGTCAAGGGGAACCTTTACCTATTTATGCAGAGTCACCCTAAGAGTCCGGCAGCTTGTAGTAGTAGTTTCCATTGTCAACAAGCTAAGCAAGTAGAGACATTGAAAAGAAAAGACTGAGAACTTGTGAGGAGAAACCACCCATTACTAAGATGTTATTCCAAACTGCTTCATGGACAGCAGTAAGCTCCCTATGGCTGGTTCACTCCAAAGGGAAACCCCCTGCCTCCTTCACACCACGGAAGGATCCACCTCAGTTACAGTTTTGCTCAAAGAACCCCACGATTCGTTCGGTATCTCTCCAGCATCCCTTCCATAAATGGGCAGCTAACAAACAGACTCGAACTTCACACTGCCAATGGTTTGAAAGCCTGGAGAAGTTCAGGAATCAGTCCCATCTGCCCACAACCATGGCTGTGTCTCTGTGTCTCTTTGAGAAAAATGAAAGAGTACTGATAGATGCCTTTGGGTTGGGATAAGTGACATCTGAGTGCTTTGGTAAAGGAGGACCAGCAAGGGGACTACCTCTTTGGTGGAGGTGTGGGGGAGAAGAGAGTGGGCAAGACCCCAAAGACCAGGCACTGTGGGCAAAAAAGTGCAGCATTGAACTTCCTTGTGGGCCCAGATGTAAAACTCCAGCCATCCACCTGGCTAGAAGGCAAATGTAAAGGGGGGGGGGAGGCAAGATAAAAAGAATATGAAATGTTTTCAGTAGGTAATGCTAGACGGGACACAGAGGGGACATAACTGCACTTTGCTTAACTGTCTTAAAGGGGACAACTTTGTGCATGACATTTCTGCACGGCAAAGCAGTTCTGTATAAGAGCTTGGCACGCAACCTCCCCTATTGCAGACTATCCCATCCAACAATTGTGCAGAACGGTGGGTTTGCTTCAAAAAAAGAGAGAGCAAACCTCCCCCAGGGAAAGGCGGTTAGGTGTTATAAATCTACACACATTTTTCACATTAATCCCTACATGGAAATTTTGGAAGTGTCATGGTTTTTTTTTTTTTTTGAAAAAAGGGATCAACTCTGTATGAAGAATGGTAAATGGTATACGTAAAACAGAATGAAAATACGGCTACTCAAAGACTTGAGATGGGATCCGATTAATGCAGCATATTCACGTCTAAACAGCCAAAGTCTAAGGATACAGTACTTAAATGAGAGACAAGGAGAGTGTCATGGTTAGAATTAGGGCAGTGGCTCCCAACCTTGGGTAACCCAGGAGTTCTTGGGCTGCAAATCCCTGGAGGCCTCAGCACTAGCTGTGCTGGTCAGGGCTTCTGGGAGTTGCAGTTCAAGAACTCCTGGGTTACCCAAGGTTGGGAACCTGTGACTTAGGAGATCCAGTTTCAAATCCCTCCTGAAGCATGACATTCCCTGGAGGACTTTGGGCCAGGCAATCTCCTTCTCAGCCAACGAATGCAAAACCCACACATGGGATTGTTTCATGGAAGTTTTCTATCCACATTATCTCATGTTGTGTTCCTAGTTGGAGAGCTGTGCCTGACCTGTCCCTTTAAATTTCAGTCTGCAACAGCCCCACAGGGGCCACTGTGTAGATGATATTAGAGGGGTGAAGAGCAATGTATCTCTCTTTGAGCAAGAGAGGTAGGACATCCATGTCACTGATTTAATTTCAACTAATAAATATAATAAACTTAGCAAAGGAAGCTCCCTTAAGAGCAGCAACACACATTTTGACATGCACATTGGAAATGACGTGATGTCTTGCACGTAGGCTGCAGTGTACGATTCACAGGTCTGCTCCAGAAAAAACACCACAAAGTGTACACACGTGGAGGAGCGGTAATCAATCACAACTCTCCAGCTGGAATTGCAAAGTGAGATGATGTGGATAGAAAGTTTTAATGAAGCAACCACACATGTAGATTTTTTTCATTCAGTGGCCATAATACTAGAGAAATGCAACCCAACTACACCCCCTTTACCTCTATATACAAGGAGCAAAATGACATGCAGTATATTTGCTGTGCAGAAATGTCTCTCTTCAGTTACTGCCGATTGGAACCTGGCTTCTGATGTATACAATGGGAACAGCAAGATAAGTACTTGCCGTTCATTTGGGAAGGTATGTGTAGCTCATATGATTAGGCTACAACTGCCATCAGCCCAGGTGACAGGCCAGCCTAGCATTATGTGTAGCTCATATGATTAGGCTACAACTACGTGCCATCAGCCCAGGTGACAGGCCAGACTAGCATCTGGAGGGCCACAGGTCCTCCCTCTTTAAAAGTCATCATGACTGTTAGCTCTTATCAGGATGTCTGAATAGTGAGCGGTTCTCCACTGAGCGGTCTGAATGTTCTACTGACAAATTTGAGCAGTGATTCACCCTAAGTTCCAAAAAGCATCCGCCTGGAAACAGCTGCAGCTAAACTCTTTTCCGCCCATGGAAATATCAAAGTGGCAGCGATGGATGTAATAGGCAGAATCTCATGTACTGGCCAGTGCTTCGTTTTAAGAGGAAGCCCAAAGGTTTCTGGAAAGAGCACCCTCTGCTCTAGAAACTTTGCTACCTAATACATGAAATATGAGGACTCTCTCCAGTCACTCGGGGAAGGAAAATCACTGTTCCAGCTCAGGAATGCTTCGACCTATGCCAGCACTGAGTCCTGCTGCTACTGAAACCACACGCCAGAGCGAAATCCTGGTGTAAACTAAGCTCCTTCCAAGACAAAGGGTGAACTTCTTTCCTAATGGGCCAACTCAGATGCTTTCAACTACAAATCCCATCCTCTTCAGTCAGCAAGGCCACTGGACAAGGATCACAGCAGCTGAAGTCCAAAACATCTGCAGGATATCTGGGTACCTACCCCCCCCCCAAATCTATGCTTAGGAGTTTCCAGCCTGCAGGAGATAAATGGGCCACACAGGGGTTTCTCATCCTGCCCCAAGCTCCTTCTGTTGTTTTCTCCCGCTGATAACTGGGAAGTCATTCAAACTTGACACACCATATACCGAACAGAGCTGTGCTCTGCAAGCAGAGGAACTGTTGCCTGGAAATAAATTGTCCTTTGCAGCTGGGGAAGCTTGAACTGGAGTGTACTTGCACAGAACTGAGTTGCATTATCACAACATTTCTACTGATACATCTGACCCTCCTCACCTTGCTGTGGCCCTATCCACTACACCTATAATCCTACCCACAAACTCCATACAATCTCCCAAACCTTACCATAATTAGAACTCAGCTCCTTGGCACAAAACAAGGCCCCCCTCCCTCCTACCCTAAAGAAACCCAATCTAGGTTCTTAGGAGTGGGCTCCGCACCCGAGCTAGGGCTCACCTTGAAGAGGGCATAGTGCAGGTATTGATAAGGGAGACGGCGCTGGAAATCCCGCAAGGTCTCGACGGGCGGATAGCTGAGCTGAAAAACGGGCAAGTCGCGCTTGCACCGCCTCAGGCAAGAGGCGCGCCGCAGCACCAGCCCGAAGAGCTCCATCTCGCGCAGCCATTCCTCCGGGGCGCCCCCTGCAGGCTCGCCGACCTCGCCGCCACCGCGCTTGGCGCTCTCTCCCAGCGCAGCAGCGCCTGGTTGCCCCGGCGCCTCCAGCGCCC